CTCAGACATCAGGCTTTCTTCCTGGGACCACCATATGTTTAGTGGGTACCTGATGGCTTCGACTGCCACCTAAACCACCTCTCAGGTATACACCAAATCAACCCACAACATCGCTGAGGTGTCTCAAATGTGCCTGATCCCACACATGCCACATATCCATGCAGAACTTGACCTCATTCCCAACCCTTCCTGTGTGCTGCTGTAGCCCTGGCTCTACATGCACCCCCATTGGCAGGCACCTGGCTCCTGCCCATCCTTCTTCTCCACCTGCTTCTGTTCCCTTTAGCGGCTCCCAAGAGGCCTACCACCGACAGGGTAGCACGTCACTGCATTCTGCTGTGACACGGTACCACCTCCTTTCATGCAGTCCTGACCCACATACACCTTGTCTCCTCATGCCTGCTGGTGTATACTTCTGCTGGAGTCACGCACATGAACCTAAGGACAGCATGCTACCCAAGAGTGATAGGACATCCCACCCCACTACCCTCATGCCATGCCTTGCCCTCCCCAACTCTGCCCTGTTCCAGTCTGAGAAGAACATCAAGACCTTGTGGAAGATGGTCTTCCCAGTGCTGACGGCAGGTAGGTATCCTTACTACAGAGTGTATTCAACACCACCCACCCTGTCCCTGGTCAGTAGTCTCCAAAGTGTGCCATGCCGGCTTGACTGGCCACAGTGTAGTCTCCACCTCCCTGTAACAGTTTCTTGAATATGAAAAAAAAAAAAACAAAACCCACAGGCTCCTGGCTGGGGGCTTGTCACCAGCTTATGGCTTTTTGGAAGTGATTGGATCCTGAGGACCCTAACTTCATGCATGCATTAATCCACCAATGGGTTCATAATCCCACAGCATTATTGTGAAGTGACAGAAATTTTAGGGGTGAGGCCTGGGTGAAGGAAGTGGTCCCTGCTTGTTACTGCTTCTCTCCGCTTCTGTCCACTAGGACAGTGTTCTTCTATGATGCCCTTCATCTCACCACAGGCCCAGAAACATGGAGACAGCCCACCACAGGCTGAAGGAGCTAAAATTTGAGCCAAAATCAATCTTTTTCCCCCTCCAGGTATTCTGCTTGGGCACGTCAGCACAGTAGCGAGCCTGAGTGCCACACTCCCCAGGCCTCCTTACCTTCTGAGCAGCATCTACCCCAAGGACAGGAAAGAGGTTTTCCCAACAGTGAGATTCGCTCCAGAGACGCTGTGAAGCAGATGCAGTGTCGGTGTTCTGAAGAGCTCTCCAGAGTTTCCTAGATTCAGAGCTGGAAGAAAGATGCAGTCACGACAGGAGACCTCCAAGACTTCCCCGCACATCACTGAAGCCCAGCCCTCCAGCAGAGGGCACTGGCCCATGAGGACTCAGGACTGGGCGCTCCTCTCTTGTAAACCCAAGCATTCACTAACAACATGTCCTCTACCCATGCATCTTCTTGGAGAAGCCGAGGCCAGATTTATTGGTGTTATTCACTCAAGTGTCTACAACTGTACTGGTCACAGAACAGGTACATACAATACAGAATGCATACTCAAGAGAGTCAATGAAGAAATCCTTAGGGGAATGTTGACTGTGGCCATGTGCACTGAGCCTGTGAGAAGCAAAATGGCACCCAGTAGCTGCAAGGCCATATAGGATATGTCAAATGCTGGGTCATCTTTTCCCAAACACTCACATGTTTCTGAACATACAAGAGTGTTCCACCCTAAAGCAATACCCATCCCCCTGTTCCAGCATGTCTAGCCTTGCCAAACATGATACCTGGGCCACCTGGGCCTCTGAAAAACTTGACATTGGCACAATCACCTCTAGCTGGGGCTTCACTTTACAGGAGCGCCAGGCAGCTGGGTACTGCTGGTCACAGCCCCTGGGCTCCAGGCCTAAATCCCTAGGCCCTGGTGGAGGGTCTTCTGGGCAGGTTCTGGGTTGGCCCTACATGGTGGTCATGATGGATAACAGTGCAGGGTCTGCAGAGCTCTGACAATGCCCAGGCCTGCTCAGGCATGCAGAAACCCGAAGCATACCAGCTAACCTTCCCTGAGCCTTGGGTGACAGACAGCCTGCTCACTCTACCTTCTCTTCACACAGTGTCTCTTTAGTATTCTGGCCCTTACCACTGTTACTGTCAGTGGAGAGCACACCCTAACGAATGGCCAGCCAGACACTACTGTATGTGTGATTTTCTCTAGAAGCACACAAGGTAATCCTAAAGGCCAGTGATGGCTCTTGAGGTGTTTCCTATAACTATGGCTGAGGTCATATGGGTCATAACTTGCCACTGAGCCAAGTCCCTAGCAGCAGCCCTGAGAGACCACACCAGGGACACTGCTGGAGTGTCCATCTGTGCTGCTGGTCCCTCCGGAATGCTGTAGCCTATAGGTGGCTACAGGGACACCATACTCTCTAGGAACAATCAAAAAGCATTGTGAAACCACTTCAGGAGACAAAAATGAAGTTGCTTTGACAACCCTTGATTCCAATCATAGTTCATTACCACAGTCTAGGCACAGATGCAAGGCCAGCATTTTCTTCACTGCTTATTTCTAAGAAATGGTCTAAAGAACAAATGTCTTCAGTTGCCCGTTCCACTGGGACTTCTTGAAACGCAAACCTAAAAACCTTCTCATAGCTGAGAATGGACTGGAAAGAAAGAACATTCCAATGTTAGGAGCAATGTATACGTTATATTATTCCAAATAATTGACTTTAATATAAATGCATTTTGTCCCTGGTTGCATGCTCAGTTGGTGTTGCCATCACTGATGATATTATTCCTCAGATTCTCCAGGTTGTGTGGAAATACAGTGAAAGCCATGGGCTTGCAGGAAAGGAGTGCACAGCTCAAACTCTGTCAGGACATGTGGAGAAGGTGGACTTTCAACACTGCCCCTGTCTCCATGTCAAGGGGCTGAGAAGTCCATGGGAATGGCAGTGGAGACATACTTCACCTGCACACGCTCTGAGTTAGGTGAGGAGGTGTGGACAGGATCTGAACCAGGTGGTAGCAGAGTGGGGCTGGCAAGTGTTTGGGTGAGTGTTAGGTGTGCCCATGTGCAGCAGCTCAGCACATTCCTACACTCATCCAGTGTTTTATGTAAAATTTCTGTTATGCACAAATGTTTTCTGACATTTCTAATATGGTGGAGAAAGTCCTCGATTCAGAACAAGTGTTAAGGTGCAGCTGACTACAGTAATAATGGTCCTCATTGGAGGTTCAAGGAGACAGGCCTCACCAGCAGTGTCTACCCAGCAGCACCGTTTCCTTCCATTCTTTCTATTTGTACCCATATTTGTTCACCCGTGTTTGGGGCGAGCCACTGGGGGAGGAGAATGGCTGAAAGGAGGCAGTCAAGGAGGCAAAGGTGTGGTCAGTTCTGAGGGCTGAGCAGGACCCTGGACTGGCATTACCTGGTTCAGTCCTCAAAACTGAACTGTGAGCTCTGACGTTCAGGTCTGAGACTTCGTAAATCTCAAATTCGGGATACCCCATGTGCCCTGAACAGGACCATACAAGTGCGGCTTCAGGCCCCAGGAGAAAGTTCAGAGAAAGCTGCCCAGCTTGGACCCCCACCGTGCCTTGTTCCGATCCGTTTCTTCGGAGTCCCTTGGCCAAGCCCTCCATTCCTTGTCCCCCTCTTAAGCAGAGGACAGCCAACCACACAGCAAAAGACAGACCAGGAGAGGGGGCTCAAAGGCTGGCAAGACCCCCCCCCACGCCCTCAGCACACAGAAGCCTGGGCAAACTCTAATGGCTATACAAAATACTTTCCACTCAACCACAGAAATACCTCTGAAGACGGGCCAGCAGCAGTTCCTGTCACCCAGGGTCCACCCTGCTGCACCTGGCAAGAACCATGCTCTTTTGGGATTGAAGGGGTTCTCAGCGGCTGATGTTCTGCGGCTCTTCCTAGGAGTTCAAAAGACTGAGAAAACTGCTCAGACTTAGCTGAAGACTCCCGGAAGCCTTCGAACTCTCCCCACCCTCCGCTGAGCTCCCCTGGGTGTGGACAGCTGAGTGTGCAGGCCGGAAGACCCTCTTCCAGTCTGGAGCTGCTAGCTTTCGCGTCAGGCAGAGGAGTCAGGGGACCATCGCAGCAGATTCTCCTCCGTTCCAAACCGTCACCACTCTGTCCTCCAGCTGTTTGGTGGAGGGACCCCTCTCCAGGTTCCTGTGCAAGGTCACTCACTGCCTCTCTCCTCACCTCCTGCCCGCCTTGCATCTTGGTGTGGCCAGGCCAGCCGACCCGAAGGAAAGCTGCTCAGAAAACATGCAGCTGCTGAGCTGGAGTTGCCCAGGGCTTCCTGGGAGTGTTCACGTGCCTCTGTGGAGTCGACCCCTCCTGGCACGCGTGGGTGGCCAGTCCTGCACGGGGGCGTGTCCTAGGGCCAAACAAGTGAGGCGAAGGAAGGCCTGTGGACAGATGGGCCGCAGAACTGGGTCTGCGAGGCCGCTGGCTGAAGGCAGGGAGCTCGGGGATCGCGTCCCAGGCGGGAGTCTCACGGGCTCCGAGACCAGGTCCAAGGCCCGAACGGAGGAGGTCCTGGGCTCCCAGAGGCCTGCAAGGCGCGCACCCACCTTGGCCACCGCGACGCGCCTCCCGGCGCCCGGCCGGGCGATACCCAAAGCCAGCTTAGCCCGCAAGCCGGCGCCGCGCGTTGCCGGGCAACGGTGCGCGCCCGCAGGCTTCCGGCGTGCTTCGCGTGGCGTCAGCACGCCGCCGCGTGGCGTAGCCAACAGCTCCCCCGCCCATGCCCCGCCCCTTTTGGACCCTTGCGGGGCCGCGACTTGCGGAGTAGAGGAGAGGGTAGTGGCTACACAGCTAGTGGGGTCCAGCTTGCTATCCTGGCCGGCTTTCCTGCCTCCTCCGCCCTACAAATGAGCGGTTCCCGTTTTGTTATGGCGCCAGGTGCTTGTGTGTTCGATGTGTCCCCTGCAGTCGCACACTTGGCCCGGGAGTAAAGCCACTGCCAGGGTGCTGGCCCCTAAGCCTACACCCGCCCACCCTGCCTGGCCCCGCTTCCTGCGCTCTTGTTGAATGGTTTCTCAAGACTGGAGGCCACATGGGTACGATGGAAAAAGTGTCTCGCTGATTTAGCCCAATCCCAGACCACTCTCCCTTGAGTGAGGATGAGGGTCTACTGCCTGCAGAGCAGGAGAGACACTGTCTTCTCTCATGTGCTCACAGTCTGGGCCTGGTCACCAGCCAGTCTCAAAGCAGAGCAGGGCCAGTCTTGGTCATGGGCAATCAGACTCTCACAGTCTCTGGCAGCCAGCTGTGCTGCGGCGTAAGGGCCCCGATGAACCAGCCTTGCCCCCAGCCACAGAAATCCCTGGCCCTTTCCCATCTGTCCCCAGTTCTGAGGTTCATGAAGTCAACCTGCAGCATGTCACATCTCTACCCAAGCCATCCTGGACTAGCAGCCATTACCAACCTTCCCTGGGAAACAGGTGGGTCAGGCCTGCATCTAAGCCCAGTGCTAGCCCCGTCCTCCATACACAGATTTCCCTGCCCTGGACTTCCCTGGGCCCTGCCCTTGCATGAATTATTCGGTCTCTCATCCCCAGCCTCCTCAGATCTATTGGAAAATTTGATTTAAAAGTGACAAGATGAGATCATTCTCTGCATCTTGGACCACAGCCTTCCCTACTCCCTTGGGCAGAGCAGCCTGGCACTGTTCTCTAAGCCAGGCAGAGAGCTCAGGACTAGGTCTTGGCCGAGCCGTCCCAGCTCTCAGAGTGGCCCGGTAGGGTAGGGCCAGACACTGTCTGTGTTTGCAGACACTGGCTTCTGTTGGCCTCGTTATGACCCCGCAGGTCCTCCTCTCCATTTGCACTGCTCCAATTCCCCTCGCCCACTGCCCTTGCTGTCTTCGAGGTCCAGGGAGCTGGAAGGAGATAGGAAGACTGAGGCCTGGGCTCAAAGTGGGATAAGTAGACTGGGAAAAAGAGTGGGACTGGAGCAGTCCTTCCGGCCTCCAGTTCCTCCCGAGTCTGTCTAGGCCTCAGCCTTGTCAGGTAGGAGGGAAGACTGGAGAATACACCAGGGTCTAGTTCTTGAGTCACAGGCCTAGGTTGGGGTGCCTGTGTGAACAGTGAGTCATCTGAATGATGCTCCCCATGCTGATCTCCAGAAGCCGTGGATATGAAACCTTAGAAAATGGATAGATCTGCTGTGTGAGGTTAAAGTGGAGATGTGGAGATAGTCCTGGGTCCTGTAGCTGTGCCCAGGGGAGACAAGTCCTTGTAAGGGGGCACGGGGTGTGGTGGCACAGGGCTGTCATGCCAGCACTGGGAAAGCTGATGGAGGATCAGAAGTTAGAAGCCAGTCTAAGCTACATAGTGAGTTTGAGACTAGCCTGGGCTAAATGGTGAGACCCTATCTAGCAGGAGGGAGGGAGAGAAGGGGATGGAGAGGTAGGTGTGTGAAAGCCTGTGCTGCCGGAAAACAAGTGTGTGTCATTTTAGCCCAGTCCATTAGTGATATTTCTGCAGCAAACGTCATGAACCGATAGACCTGGGTGACCCCGGGGACCCCACTAAATACGTGCCGCCGTCGTGAGGAAGGGGTGCCTGGTGCTGCCTGAAGAGCAGGTCAGACGGCCCGGGTGGGTGGGCAAAGGAGGCAGCAGCTCTACTTGGTTAAGTTAGGGCAGGTTGGGCTAGAGCGGCCCCTAAAGTTGAAGTGTGAGAGGATGGGCTGAGTCCCGAGTGGCCGCGAAATGGCAGAGCCCTAACAGTCCTCCATCCCCTCACCTGTTTCTCCTTCTCCAGCCCCCAGTTCCTCTGCCTGGGGTAGTGCTGCTTTGCCCAAAGCCCACAGTCAACCTGGTGCCTCCCGAGGTCACCTGATGGTAAGGACCAGTTGAACAGACTGTCCCAGCAACCACTGGTGTCTTCCAGTGATGTGGGAGGTCACATGCCTGCTTCTGTGCCTGTGGTTTGTAGAGTCCAGGGCTTCCCCAAGTCCCAGGTGGGCCTGCTCAGTCCACTGCTATCTGGGCAGCAGAACACTCCAATATGCCCCATCATCTCCCTCCTTCCTGACCCCAGCTGTGTGCTGAGCTGTGTGGATGCAGGGGTTGGGAGGACCTGGGACCATGCCCAGACCTGACAAAGTACTCAGCGTTGAGGAAGAGGAAGTCGAGGCAGGCCCTCTGTGGTCATGGATATAGAGGGCTCTGGGTAAGGGGCTCCCACCTACTTATGACAGCCCTCAGCCTCTTGGACATGCAGGCTTGGAACCTTCTTCATGGTCTGAACAAAGAATTAAGCAAAGGACTGAGACGAGTGGGGTGGCTGCGGCAGAGTGGCCACAGATGCCACTGCCTTCCGCGTGCCTGTGGGCCGAGGTGGGGCAGGGCCATGGTGATAGCAAAACTATTTCTGCCATGTTGCTGCGGCTGCTGCAGGATACATCAATCATTGATGCTCTGGGCATCATGGTCAGCCTTCCTGGAGAGGCAGTGGAGCATTGGGTCAGGCCAGTGGGGGAGGGGCAGAGCGTGAGATAGCCATGACCACATCGGGTCCAATCCTCTCTTTACCTCCAGTCCCCGGGCCCCAGCTCTTGGGGGGAAAGATCATGGGGTGTTACGGAGCCGCACAACACCCCTGAGTGGACGTTTAGAGGAGGTGTGGTTGTGAGCTGGGTCATCTCCCCACATGCTGGGGAGGGGGTATAAATTCCTGAGCTAGACCTTGCTGCAGGAGCCTTCCCCAGCAGGACATCTGTCCCCAGAGGAGGACATGGGGAGGAGGCTGGAGCCGGGGTGTGGTGACGGGAACTCCTGGCAGTGCATCGCTCTGCGGCAGAAGATGGCCAGGCTTCAGACTGGGGGAAGGGACAGCCCACGGAGCAGAGCAGGTCCCCTACCACATACGTTTTTCTCCCCTGCTCCTGTTCACTGTGATCCCATGGCTAGGTTTAGGCTTCAGAATACTACTAGTGATAGAAGGGTCTAGCTGGGCCCTGGGGAGAGAGTCTGACTTGTCCACCCACGTAGGTAAGTGGCTTCCATAACAGGGTCTTCCAAAGGCATAGTGAGTCAGCCACAACCACGAGGCCCCAGGAGCACTACTCAGGAGTGTACATATCTGTGCACATGAACCTGAGTGTGTGCGCAGGAGTGTGTGTGCATGTCTGTGGATACTGAGACAAATCCAAGGTGGTCTGTGGCATGTGTGTTGGTGTGAGTGTATGGTCTTGTTTTTCCATCTGTGGCTCTTCCCTGGGGTGGAAAGCTCTCTAGGCAGATACCCCAAGGTGTCTGTCCCCCACAGTGTCTGGTCTGACCTCTAGTCCAAGGGGGATCTTCCAGGAGATGGCAGCTGGACTCCCCATGTTAGGCCTCACCTCGCCCTGACCTTCAAGCTGCAGTCCAAGTGCTAGACCCCAAGCAGCACGGATCTGCCTACCAGCCCTGAGTCGGAGTGGGCGAGAGAAGGGAGGGAGAGTCCTTGGGTTCCCACCCCACATCCTGGATCTGGGGCCTAAGCCAGCCCTGAAGCAACCCTCAAGACTGCAAATGAGTATGGCAGTGAGCAGCCTTGCATTTTTCTCAAGCCCCAGCAGAGCAGACACAGACGCTTTGACCATACACGGCCAGGTTCATGCATGGTCACCTTCTCACTGGGTCAAGGGTGTCCAGGCCCCATGGAGGAAGCTCAAGAGGGTCTCAGGTGTCTCAAGGGAGGCCTCATGACCAAGCACAACTCATACTGACTGTGGCAAATGGGAGAGTGCTGGCACACCTAGGTACCTCTTACCCAGTACTGTGCCATCAACATGACAGCCTTAGGCCTGTTGGAACTGGGGTAGCCTGGATAACATCCACATCCCAAAAGAGCTGATGGGCACCGCCACAGCCCTAGGTGGATCATGCTAGACAACCTGAGACCACTTTGCTTGAACGATGTTGCCGAGAGACCAGGGACATAGCCAGGTCTGCACCCAAAGGTCTTTGGTTATACAAAACCACGCCTTGTTCCCAGGCCCTTGCTCTCAGATCCTGAAGCCGGATTCAGATACACTGGACCGACAGACTGAGACCTTCCAGCCTACCCAGCAGGCAGAGATGTACCCCAGAACGCAGAGACCCTTCTACCCAGAGACAAGGTAGTGTTCTTCATCCAGGGCATTTCCCCGGGGATGGGATGAGACTCGTGTCCCACCAAGGCAGGGCTGAGGCCTATTCAGTTGGAGGGGAAGGCTGCCAAGGCTCCTTCCCAGCAGTGCCTGGTGTCTGTCTGACCTGAGTTGTTGGCAGGCTGCCCAGCACTGCAGCCCAGCTAACGGGAACTGCCGAGGGTGAGTCATCCCAATGCTCACTGGCTCACCTGGGCCCTGACTTCTGTGGGGAGTTCCCGCTTGCACCTAAGACTGTGTGCATATGCATCTATGTCCTGTTACACTTGGGGTGTGTGTGTGTGTGTGTGTGTGTGTGTGTGTGTGTGTGTGTGTGTGTGGTGTGTGCACGTCTGAGTATACGGGGACAAATCCAAGGTGGCCTGTGGTGTGTGTGCTGGCCTGAGTGCATGGTTTTGTTCCTGGGTCCATGTGGCTCTTCTGCTGCATCTTAGCCTCCCCTGGCTCCCACCCCATCTTGTTGCCCTAGAAAAAGCGGTGTGCACACCTCCCTCTCTGTCCACCTGGCATGGCCAACCCACTGTCCGGGACATTTCTGTCCCTCAGGTCTGCACCAGGCTGGGGTTAGCCAACCCTGAGTCTGTGGAAACAGAACTTGGGCCTTTCTCTCCCCAAAATGTGTTCCCTCCTGCATGGTGCCCAGGTAGAGGCCGGTGAGATCCTGTCCTCTCCTGTCAAAGCCTTACCCAGTCCTCTTCGTTAGCATCCAGGATGTCCCAGGATCGCTGAAATCCCACCCAGCTTCACTGCCCTCGTCCAGCAGCTCTTGATTTTTCAGAATGCCTCCCCCAAGCTTCGACCTGGAGCCCCTGACAGTCCCTGTTCAGGCCATGTTCAGCACCTGCTCTCATGCCCATCTTGAGAACCAATGTTGTCTCTCCACTGACAGGAATAGTTCCCACACTTGTCTTGTTCACGGCCCCCTAGGCTGCCAGGAACCTTCCAGGAGCCCTCCCTAGCCATCCAGCACTGCCCCACTGTACCTTCGCTGTCATGCAGCCCGGGGGCCAAGCCAGTAGAGTCCTGTCATGGCCAGGTGCCAGGTGCCAGGCTCTTTACAAAAAACACTGAAAAGTCAAATCCTGCCTTGGGGCTGTAGGATGGCTCCAATTCTGGCCCTGTTGGACGGCCTACAGGGGATCTGCCCAGGGCACCATGTCCAAACTATCGGCTTCTAGCCTGTTCTTGCATCTGCTTTACCGTCTCTTGTCTTTTGCCCCTGAACCCCATCTTCTCCTGAGGAGCTCAGATCGCAAGCTGTCATTTCCCTGGACTGCTGTGCTCCACAGTCAAGCTGGAGGGAAGGAAGCCCTGGATTCCGGGTGCAGGGGATCTGGTGGCCCCTGGAGGAACTTGACAAATCTCTGCCCCAGAAACGCAACCTGGAGGAGGGAGGGGGTGAGGTCAGCTGGGGGGGTAGGGTAGACCACAGGAGCCTGGGTCCGACGGGGCGGGTCCGTTGTAGGGCGGGGCCTCAGCTGCGGCAACCAATGGGTTGAATGAGACCGGCGGCACCGCCCGCGCCGTCTCTGCCGAGTGGTCAGCGTGGGCTGGGCGGACCAGGGCGGGGCCGTAGCCAAGGTCTGGAGGTACCCCGGGCGTAAGCCGCAGTCACAGCCCGGCTGCCCGCGGCAGCACAGGGTACCGAAGCCGTGGGCTCCGCCCTTCTCCAGGCGCATCAGCTCCTGGCCTTGACTGGACGCGCAGGGCCGCCGCCGGCCCGCACCACCAGCCGCCAAGATGTGCGACTGCTTCCACGTGGCGCTGCCCACCTGGCCCGGAGCCCCCGGCAGCGGTGCGCCTCACCCCCGCCTGCAGCCCGCTTCCCTCGGGCGGGTGGGCTCTGGGGGCGCGCCGGGGCGTGACGGGGGCGCGCAGTGCGGGACAAGTTGCGCGTGGGAGGAAGGGCAGGAGAGATGGATGGGGGCTGGCGGGCGGGTCTCCGGTGCTTTTGGTCCTTCGCTGGCTCTGTGGGTCCCTGCATCTCTCGCTCGTACTTGTGCCTGCCTCGTTCTTCTTACTCCTTTCCCCATCTCTGCTGCTCACTCTGTTTCTTGGGTTTGCATTACTCTGTGTGGCTCCTTGCACTCTGGACTTGCTCGCTGTCCCTTCCTCTCTCTCACCTTTTCATCACGTTCCTCCTGTAACCCCCGGGACGCTGCTTTGCCCAGTGAGGTGGCTATAGAGGCATGTGTGCTTCATACTGGATGGAACAGGCCCAGGTGGTCAGTCATCAGTCCTAGGCTAGGAGACCTTCGAGATCTAGCCTCTGACCTGCTTTTGGGGGGACCATCCTGGCTAGACCAAGCCTTAGATTGGGGCTACCAGGCTTAGGCACTGTGCTGGATGCACTGTGTGGCTACTGTGTATATGGATGGCCAACTAGGTGTGGCTGGGGCAGGGTGAGGCTTGAGGTCTGGGGCTTCCTTCCTAAGGGGCCCGAGTAGGGTCCTGTTGCTCCAGTCAAGGGGGTTGGCCCCAGCCCATGGTCAGAGCTGAGCATCTGCTGCAGAGTGGGTACCTCGTGCTTTTATGTGATGGTCCTTGTCCTGGACCTTACCTCTGGTGTCTTGGAGGACCGGGTGGGGCAGCAAGGAACTGTCCTTCAGACCCTGGGTCAGTCATGCAGCAGCCTGGCCACACCCAGGGCACCTGGCCAGCCACTGGCTAGGGGATTGGGACAGAGGCGCTGCACTGGTACAGGCTGAGCCCCTCCCTGTGAGAGAAAACAAGTTGATGACAGTTATGGCGATGAGGCCACTCATGATGCAGAGTGCAATGCAGAGGGGTGGCCCTGCCTGGCATCTTCTCCACTCAGTGGAGCTGCCAGAGCCCTTCCTGTGGCCCGTTTGTCCACTATGGGTTGAGGCCGGACTGGAGCCTGGGACTCTGGGAACTGGCTTTTGCTATCCCAGGGGTTCTTCTGCTGGGACTCTCCCACGTACAGATGGGAGCCCAAGGGCCCTGACTAGCCCCACTAGCAGTGGGAGAGTGATGGACCCCCACCTTCTCCTCTTTCCCCGTTGCTGGCTCTGGCCCATGTCGCTGCAGATGGGCCTCCCCAGAGGGAAGAAGCCCGCGTGCACAGGACTGCTCTGTCTCCAGTGCGCATGAGTGGCCTCCGTATTCTTGGGTTCAGGTTAAGGGACCACCTCATTCACATTCTGTACCTCACCCCATTGTACCTCACACAAGGGTGTCTCTTCCCTCTTTTATTGTCTGGAGCAGTTTCTCCTTGTGTCTGCCTGCTCTTAGGGAGTTAGAGCAGTGGCCTCTGTGCAGCTGTGGTAGGAGACTTTCAGGATAAGGGCCTGGATGGTTCTGCCCAGGCTGGCTCCACCCTGTCCACGGGCCCAGGGATATGCATGCTTCGTAAGGATACTCACTGTGGGTTGAAGGCGAGGGTTGGTTTTAGGCCTGTACCAGCTGTGGTCCACTCCCAACAGGGCGGAGTTGCCCTCCTGTGCCAGGCATACCTGGTCTCTTAAACTCCTGGTGCACACCCTTGGCCATCTGCCGCCTCCTACAGCCCAGGGCAGAGCCACCCCTGTTCCGGCTAACTTGCTCAGAGGCTGCCCCCTGGTGGATGTTCTGGGAATGTACCTACACAAGATTGGGCAAGGGTGGGGAGGGGTGGCGCTGTATAGGGACACACCCACCCCAGGAGTGCCCAAGTGCCTTCACCCACCGTGAGACTGACACCAAGAAGTTTACCACCATAGGTGCTGGTTGTCACACCGCTCCGGGCGTATGTGTGAGTGTCTTCCCAGAGGCATAGCTGAGTCACAGAGAGTTAGAGCGAGTCCTGTTTTCCAAGCGGTGGCTCCTGTGCTGCACCTGCATGAGCCTGGCACTGCCGAGGCACTAACTCCCAGCATTCTTCAAGAAACCACTGCTGGATCTGGGGAGTTCATGAGGGATATCTGGATGTTCTTTCTTTGGGGTCGGGGGCCATGGCCATGGCTAGCTCCTTCCCCCAAAGAGTATAGGGCCAGAACAGCTTTTAGGTGCCCGGCCTTGAGGTCAGGACGTAGGTCCAGACCTGACATCTGTGCCCAGGAGTGCCTGGGCTGCCATGCTGGGAAAGAGCTGTGTTCCCAGTGAGGACACATGCAGCACTCACTACTTCATCATCTCCTGGATAGGGTTTGCCACACTGGTAGGAATCTATGTTCTTGTTCTGAAGATGGGATACAGAAGCAGGGAGCAGGGACGCTGAGCCCTGCGTCACAGTGGAACTCGCTAGACACCCAGCAGAGAGAGGTGGTAGGTGGTTCCGAGAGGTACCAGCTGTCCTGCTCTACCAGGCAGGGCACAAAAGAGGCTGGGTTCTGGTGGCTCCTCCTCAGCTTACACATATCTGTGGACGGGCACTGAGGGGAAGCAGTGGGGGCTATCCTGGACCACTTCCCTACTTGAATGAGGTGAGATTAAAAGCCGCTGTTGGGGGCTGTATCAGTTGCTAACAACATCTGAGGCTCCTTTTTCCTTTCTCCCCCACTCCTCTATTTATTTATTAATTTTCAAGACAGGGTTTCTCTGCATATCCCTAGCTGTCCTGGAACTCACTCTGTAGACCGGGCTGGCCTCGAACTCAGAGATCTGCCTGCTTCTGCCTCCTGAGTGCTGGGATTAAAGGCGTGTGCCACCATCACCCAGCAAGGCTCTTTGGATAGCTCAGGGGACAGGACCGTACTTCATCCTGCTCTCTCCAAGCACCAGGCTGTATCTGTTTTTTACTATCAGCCAAGAAAGGGGTAGTTTAGGCTTGAGAGTAGACAGGAGGGTTGAGCTGGCAGATCCCCTAGCCTCCCAGCCTCCTGTGCTCAGGCAGCTGTGCCCACCGCCACCTGTGGTCCTGTAGCAATGCCTTTATTCTCTCTCTGCTCAGACAGGCTCTTCTGTCCTGGGCTACACCAGTTGCTGCCCCTGATGAGAGCATTTCACTCCAGACTTCTGTGTCTTTCCTTCCTTCTGTGACCTCCTCCACACCCTTCACTGAAGATGTTTGTGTTTCAGGTGCAGCCTGGACCAGCTTGGCTAGGGAGGAGAGGTTTGAGCCCTGGCAGAAAGAGAGGAACTCTTATCTACCTGGGTGTCACGGCCACATGGGAGCAAAAAGTCAAGATCTCGCTGATATTGTCCTCTGCCCAGGAGGAGGCAGATCTTGCACCCACAGATGGTCTCAAGTATGAGAGATGCCTACTCATCTCTGCCTGTCCACTGTGCCTGAGAGCTGGTACACTACTTCCTGGAGGTCCCCAGACTTAGGAGGGAGAGCAGAGATTCACTCATTGCTTGTCTAGCAAGTGGGAAGTGGCCCCAGTACATGGAGGTGTCACGGAGGGCTCAAAGGTGTCCATGAGGAGGGAGGCCACAGGCAGCAGTAACCATGTTCACCAGGCTGGATCTGGGCAGTTCTTGGATAGGGGACAGGCGCTGGGCAAATGGAGTTATACAGAGGGAAGGGAGGCTTAGTTTGATGGAAACACTGACTCCCAATTTTGGACCCCACTCTAAGGGAAGCTGTTGTCCTGTGAAGAGCATGTCTCCAGGGACCCTGTCTTCCTGTTCCCTGCCTCTGCCTCTGGGTTTCCCTTTATTTTTCTTTTTTTGGAAGGCATGGGCCAAGGGAGCCAAGGCCTGCCTTGCTGGGATAAATATTTAATAGTCAGAAGCACTTTCTCAGATGGAAAATTGGGTCTGGGCCCAGGAGGCCTGGGGCGGGAGGCTGTGTTCCCCACTCCCCACACCCCACACCCCACGCATGGCGGAAACGCTTCCAGCCACTCCTGACGCTGGCTGCTGAGCCCCTTCCTGGCCAGCACGCTGCAGTATACACCTGGCCCCAGTGCGTACAGGTGGGAACAGAGGACAGTGCTGAGGTCCCTCTCCAGGGTCCTGGCTGTACACTTGGTCCTTGCATCCCAATGATGAAGGAGGAGCGGTCGGCAGAGTTGCTGGGTGTTGTGGGGCAGACCAGGAAGGGACCTCAAGTCCCTTCCCTGCAGGATGCAGTGCTGGCAGTGAGGGCACAAACAGCTCGGCCTCAACCGGACCTGGGCCTCCTTGTCCACAGGCTTGCCACCCGCCCCGTAGAGCTGCCCAGCACTGGGATTTACAGCTGAGTCAAGGCTCCTGCTTGCCTTGAGTGGAGATGAGAACAGGAACCAGCCTGCAGGCATTGAGGCCGAGTTGCCTTGTCCCCCTCCCATGTCTTCTTTGATGCCCTGGTGGCCTTTGTTTCCCGAGAGCTGGACCCTCTGTGGGAGGAAGAAGAGCAGCCTGCCACAGATGCTTGGGGCCAGCTCACTATTGGGTGGCTCCTTCCTTGGCAGGCCTTGCTAGAGGGTGGGAGGGTGGCAGCGGCACCCAGGACGTGCTGTGACATATCCCCTAGGAATGCCCTCGGCTGAGTCACTATCAGCTGCCCCCTGGCCCCACCCGATCTTGTCACTGCCAAGTTCCCATGGTATCAGAGAGCTGGGCTGGGGTCCTGGCAGCTTCAAGCTAGAGGTGCAGTGGGCGTCACTTGACACGTCCTGACCCCTAAGTCTTAGGGTCTGTGGCGTGTGACTCGCAGATGCCCAAGCCCTCCCTGACCACGGGGCCCTGCTATACAGAATCAAGGGTTGAGCAGGGTGTGTGTGGCCATCCTTGGGATCTGAGGTAGGCAAAGCCTGCTGAGAGTCAAGTGAGCCCCTCTAGGTCGGCTCTAGGCAGGGGCAGCTCGTGAGGTCCTCCAGAATCACAGCGATCCCGGCTTTCCCTCCCTGCTGTCACCCGTCCCTGTCC